TATATATATATATATATATATCTATATATATATATATATATATATGTATATATATCTATATAGGGATTGACTCCAGTGAGATGACATATTACGGTAAGATGACATTCTTCAGTGAGATGACGCAAAGCTCACCACATTACACTGCAAAGCTCACCCATGACCAATGAAAAGCTCACCTGGGAATAAAGCAAAGCTCACCACTTTGAACATCAAAACTCACCTTTTTTTTAATTTTGAAAATTAAAAAATTAATAAAAAATAAAATTGCTTGACTGGTCAACAACCAGTCAGCGGCGACGAGGCGGCGGAGACCGGTGGTGGTCGGCGGCAGTGGCGGTGGAGGTCGGCGGCCGGCGGCGGCCGGTAGTGGCTGCCGGAGTCTGGCGACGAGGCAGCGGAGGTCGCCGGCGGCAGGCGGTGGCTGCCAGAGTCCGGCGACGGCGGCAGCAGAGGTCGCCGGCGGCAGCAGAGGTCGCCGGCGGCGGCAGCGGTCGTTGGCGGCGGCCGCCGGAGGTCGCCGGCGGTTGTTGCCGGTGGTCGGCGGTGGTCGCCGGAGGTCGCCGGCGGTGGTCGCCGGTGGCCGGCGGCAGCGGCAGGGGGTCGCCGGTGATGGTCAATGGTCAAAGTCCAGTCAGCATCACTTCCTTTGATTTTTTTTACAAAAAAAATTCAAAGTGTTGAAAAAATATGGTGAGCTTTGACTTACAGTTTGGTGAGCTTTGTAGTTGTCCTTGGTGAGCTTTGCAGTGTCCAGTGGTGAGCTTTGTGTCATCTGACCGTAGCATGTCATCTCACCATAAGGTGTCATCTGACTGGAGTCAATCCCATATATATATATATATATATATATATAGACACACACACACACACACACACACATACATACAAATACATATACATACATATATAGATACATACATACATACATACATACATACATGCATGCATGCATCCATGCATTCATACATACATACATACATCCATACATACATACATGCATGCATGCATGCATGCATGCATGCATACATACATACATACCCACACACACACACACACACACACACACGGAAACCTGACCTTTGAAGGAAAGGTAATATGACATATCGAGACTTATGAAAAGTTAGATTCGCTGTCGTGTAATACGTTCAAATTCGAGACAAAAATTCTAATGCCCTAAAGACTACAATTCCTTGAGTAACTTGAAACATTACGATGTATGAATAAAAGTATATATCCTCCAAATCTTCCACTACATCTATTGCGAATTTGATAATTCGAAACTGTTAATGTTACTGAAGGACTTTCAATCAAAAGAAGAGTATCATTAATCGATGTTGTACAATTGAGAATTGTGAATGAGCAAAGATATGTACAAGTATGTCAAATATGCCTCAAAATACGATATTATAATCTGCAAAGGAACCTTGGTTATTGATGATAAACTCCAAATGGAAATCTGCAAAAGGATCGTTGGATATCTTTGTTAATCTTTCAAAGATAGAACAAGTTTGCTAACCGAATGAACATGACGCGGTCATGAGTAAATAGGGATACAACAAAATGTTGATTGTGGACCTTAGAAGAATTTCGGGGACAAAATTCCTTTAAGGGGGAGAAATGTAACACCCCTAAACATATCCCTAAGTTTTTAATGAATAATTATTTGAATAATCAAATTTGTTTTGATTAAAATAAATTGTTGTTGGGCTTTAGACCAAAATAAAATGTGTTTTGATATCCAACATCATAATCTAGATAAATCTCATGGAGATAAATCCAATATGTTGACTTATTGTGTTACCTTGATTGGGAACTAGAGTATTGACCCAAATCAAGAATAAATGAAAAAATTGTTATGGTATGAACTTCGAAATGATTTATCAAAATAAATCATGAGAGTAATTATAATGAATTAAATATGAGAACCTTTTTGAATAAAAGTCAACAGAATCAATTTTGACTCTGTCAAAGTCAACCACCCAAAAATATGATGTCAGAAAAAGTATTACAAATAATAATGAAAAGTATATCGTTGAATAGAATTCGACTTTGTGATCGCGGCGGTGCAAACGGATTTTAATTTGGAAAAAGTTGGACAAAAAAGTGTACCCCGACTGGAACTAAAATTGATCCCAATCAGGGGCACTGTGGAGACGGAGCCTCCCAGCGCACTAATTCATTTTCCTACGCAGCTACACTACTTGTCTCCTTCTTCTTCTTTTTCCTATATAAGAGGGAGAAACAATTTCCATTTTTTCACAAAAAACTTAGTAAGTTAGCATCATTGTGTTCCTTGTTGACTGGAGAGTTCATTGGTGCTATCTAATTTGTGAGAGGTTGGCAGAGTTGGTAGTTATTGATAGGCGCGTCGTAGCACCTACAAATTAATTTATTATTTTCCATAACTTAAATCCGCCTTTATAAACTAATATTTATTAAAACATATAGACGAAGTAAGTAAGAGTCGATCCCACGAGGAAAGATACTTTTTATATTATGAAAATCAATTTACTTGTCACTTTTATTGAATAAAAACTACTAACTACAATCTAAAAATTAAAACTAAAAGATATGGGGGGTTTGAGTGATAATTCTTAAAAGATAAAAATGCAAATAAAATAAAGATAAGGATAATAGATTAGAGATAGACCCGCAACAGCAACTCGAACTCAGGGAAAAACAAACACACAACAAACACACATTAAACTTTATAAAAACATAGACAATAAAAATTAACTTAAACTGTTTTGAAAATACTTATAATATTTAGAAGAAAATAAACTAAACAAATCTAATTACCCAATTAATTATGTGTTGATTCTGAAATTAAACTGCTAATTAAACTCAGGGTTAGGCTGCAGAAGAGGTCCACCAACAGTTCTTCCCTATTTTCCCACCCATATTAGCTCATGTTAAGACCAACCCTAACTCTAAACCCTACTACCCTTAGAAACCCAAAGACCAACTCTTAAGTTACTACTAAGAATAGCGCATTAAAATCTTCGGAAAACATCACCATAACAACTTTGCCGTAACACTACGATTATTTAACAAAATCAGTTTGAGAACCTTGATCAGCAAAAACCACTTATCGAGGCAGCAGGTTCTAATCAAGTGACACTTGGTTTCTAGAAAAGTTCGGCTATTTAAAGCACTTTGGACTTTAAAAGAATAACATTTTAAACTAGATTAGGCATGTGTTCCTAATTTGGTCCAATTTAAGTAAAATCTGATAAATAAAAGTTCTCAGAACACCTTTTCGAGTTTAGATTTAACAGTAGCATAGAGCTAAAATTTATTCAAAGTCAAATTAATTCAACAAACAAAGATTCAATCTTTTTTATCAAACAATTCAGCTTAAGAAGGTTTTATAATTTCAGAGACAATAATCAATCAATAAATCATAACTTGAACAATTAAACATCAACACTCAAACAATTCATCACTTATATTATAACTTAAACATTTAACACAAAAATAAGATTTGAAAATAAAATATTTAATATTGGAAATCAAATTCATCAATTTTGAAATTAAACAAATTTAAGATCCTAATTCATAGAAATAAAATTGAAAAGTAAAAGTAATGTTCCCTGGAAGTGTCTTCTTCGCACGGTGCACAGAAGCCCAGAACCAGAGCCAAGCTAGTTGCTGCTCCAAAACATGGCCGCCGTCCTACTGTCGCCGCCGGACCTAGGGTCGGTACCCTAGGCTGGGTCTTCTTATCCTCTGCTTCGATCTGTTTCGCTCGTCTCCGATCTTCTTTTCGAGTTAAAGAAGATGATTTTTCTTGTGGCTTTTGTCTCCTTTTATAGTTGCTCAATTTTAAGTCTCCAAGTCTTCAATTAGGAGTAGGATTTGAGGAATTAGAGATGGATTTGGAGAAGAAATCTACTCTTCCGTGCTTGAGTGTGGACATTTCTGTTCCCTACGCTTCTCCATTACTCCTCACTCTGTATCTTATTTTTAAGAGCCAAAGTATTTGTAGAATAAATATGCTAAAAATCATGCATTTTATGTATAGAATGTAAACAATACCCTAAAATGCTAAATAGAAAAAATATGATTATTTAGGTTTAAAATCCACATGATTTGTATTAAAAAGGCTAAAAAGTGAGGGAATAAAAATATGATATTTTGTGTCTCAACAAATACCCCCACACTTAGACTTTTCCAGTCCTCGTGCAAACTAGATGTTGAAAATCATTTTTTTCTTTTTTTGTTGAAATTAGAACTCAAAATAATTCCCCAATCTTATAACAATCTAAAGTGATGCAGGAAACATTAACTAAAAATTAATCATGTACCAAATAGATTTAACACTTTAAAAATCAATTTGCTACTTTAAATTTTAAAACAATTCTTTCACTTCAAGCTAAGTAGAAAACATTTTTATTTAATATCAAAACAATGAATTAACTAAGGTCATTGAGGACAATTCAAAAGAAATAAATAGAGCAGCAAAAAATAGTTAGAAATCCTAAGAAACAAATAGAGTAAAGAAAAACTCAAGAAAATTAATTTTCTTTTCCAAAATTTGGAAACTTTTTGTTAGCCTAGTATATTTGTATATGTTTGTTTATTATGTATTGGGCCAAGTAAATCATAGGCCCGAGACTTTATGTATATATATCCCGTGTAACTAATGTAAAACGCAAGTTTCACGTAAATCAGTTTCTATCATGGTATCAGAGCAGGTTTTGGCCCACCTCGTTTGTCATGGTGTCCGTCTAGACGTTCATTCCCAGTGGCCCATTAGTCTTTAGCCCAGTTGTCCGTATGGAGTGTGTACCCAATGGCCTGTGGCCCGTTTAATCCGATTGCACATCTGGAAGTCCACACCCAGCGGCTCGTGGTCCTTTAGGTGTTGGCGGTAAAAAAAAATCAAGGGGATGGGAGTCCATTTGCAAGTGGTCAACCGGTTATATTCAAAATGGCCCGGTTGTCCACTTGAGGGGGAGTGTTAAAAGAGTATCCCACATCGAAACTTGAAGAGAAAAAATAAACCGGTATATAATCCCTTGAGTTGAACTAACTAATCGATTGGATTCAATCTTTTAATGTGGCTTAACCCAAGTGTCTTATTGCCCAATCTAGTTTTCCCTACCCAATCCTAAACTCTATCATGGTATCAGAGCGATCCTAAGGCTATTCGTCAAACCCTTGCGCTCACGTCGTTGGTACACCGTCGTCTTCCTCGAATAGTCTCTCGCCGTCTGGTGCGTAGGAGTAGGAGTGCGTCAGGGCCTCTCCCTTGCTGGTCTGTCTCGCCGTTCGTCCGCAGCTTGTCCCTCGTTGATCACCATCATGTCCGGTGAAGTTACGTCAAACCCTAAAAAGACAAGGTTGATCCATGATCCGTCATCCATATATTACCTTCATCCCTCCGAAGGTCCGGGTAATTCTTTGACAAAATACCTCCTCAAAAGTGACAATTTTGATATTTGGGAAAAGGCAATTCGTAATGCATTAGGTGGCCGTGGAAAGTCTATATTTTTGTCGTCCGTAGGGATTACCAAACCTACTGACGAACATGAGTTGTCTGCTTGGTGTGCTAATCATCAAATCATTTGTAGTTGGATTTTTAATAGTGTTGATGAATCTATCCAACCGAGTATTGTTTCTCATTCAATTGCTTATGAGTTGTGGGATGATTTGAGGAAACGATATAATTGTTTAAATGGGCCTCGTGTGTATCAGTTAAAGTCTAAGTTAAATGCTCTACGTCAGAAGGGTCAAAGCGTCGTTTCGTATTACAACCAGTTTATCACTCTGTGGAACCAACTATACGGCTCTTCTGACCTCACCAGTGGCTGCCGGCGTGAGGCCGCTGGGGTCACATGTGCCCGTATTGAACGTGACAAAACAGTGGATTTTTTACTCGGCTTGGATGATGAACATTTTGGTAATATCCGTTCCCAAATCATTGGTACCGAACCAGTGCCCGATCTTGATCGTGCATATTTCTTGGTTACTCAAGAGGAGCGTCATCGCCATATCATTCGTACTCGTGATGATCGTACGGACTCTATTGCCTTTGCCGCGAAACAGGACAAACGCCTCCTAGTACCAAATAAACCGTCTTGTTCACATTGTGGTCATACTAATCATAACATTGACACATGTTTTGAGCTCATTGGATTTCCATCTCAATTCGCTCGTGGTGGGGGGCGAGGTCGTGGCAGCCGCGGGGGGTCCTTCTCTGGTGGTCGCGGTGGTCCTCGGTACGGCAGCAACACCCCTGCCGGCAGTGGGCAGGCGGCCCAGGGAGGCAGCGGCAGTAACCCCGTCGGCAGTGGCCAGGCAGTCCAGGGAGGCAGCAGCAGCAACCCCGCTGCGGTCCATGCGTCTGTCTCTGATTCAGGTGGCAATCTCAGTGATCAAATGTCTCGATTAATGTCGATGTTGGAGGCGTCGGCATCTCATACGTACACTGGTAAGTCTTCTTCTGACTGGTTAATTGACAGTGGAGCTTCGCACCACATGACAGGTTCTCTTGCCCACTTATTTAATGTTGAGGATGTCTCTCCTCACTCCATTTGTCTCCCTGACGGGTCCCGTGTTCAGGCCGTCAAACAGGGAAGTGTGCATTTGTCATCTCGTTTGGTACTACGGAATGTGTTATATGTACCAAACTTACATTGTCACTTTATTTCTGTTGGTTGTTTAATTCGTGACAATACTTGTTATGTAAATTTTAATGATCATCGTTGTGGAATACAGGACCATTCGTCGCAAATGGTGATTGGACAGGGTGATTTGCAAAATGGCGTGTATGTCTTTGCATCAGTTCCTGCATCAGCCCTCGTAGCCAATATCGATCCTTTTGTTCTTCATCAACGGCTGGGCCATCCCTTCGTCGATGTTCTTCCTTTTCTGGTACTAATAAGACACAGCCTGTTATCAGAAAATTACAGTCTTGTGAAATTTGTTTTTTATCCAAACAAACTCGTTCTCCATTTCGTGTTAGTGATAATAAAGCTGATGCTAATTTTGATTTAATTCATTGTGATTTGTGGGGGCCTTATTCACCATGCATTTCATCTGGAGCACATTATTTTTTGACAATTAAAGATGATTTTTCTCGGGCTGTCTGGGTTTATCAAATTAAATCAAAGAGTGAAGTTACTTCTTGTTTACACCGTTTTTTCACAATGATCCACACCCAATATTCCAAAATAATTAAAATTGTTCGTTCTGACAATGGTACTGAGTTTCTCCACTCCTCTTTACGTCAATATTATGAGAGCTTGGGTGTGTGTATTCAAATGTCTTGTGTTGGTACCCCACAACAAAATGGGCGGGTAGAACGAAAACATCGTCATATAATGAATGTGGCCCGATCCCTTATGTTTCAGGCATCTCTTCCACTTGAATTTTGGGGAGAATGTGTCAAAACGGCTGTTTATTTAATCAATCGTACTCCCACTAAAATTCTCGGGGGCAAGTCACCACTTGAAATTCTTTCCTCCAAACCTCAAGATTTAAGTCATCTCCGGGTGTTTGGGTGTCTTTGTTTTGTCCATCCTGTTCCTAAACCCAAAAATAAATTCCATCCCCGAAGTGTTAAATGTGTGTTTCTAGGTTACCCATACGGTACCAAAGGGTGGAGAGTCTATAATCTTGACACACATCGTTTTTTCCAAACGAGGGATATTTCCTTTGATGAAACCGTATTTCCGTTCGCCATTCCTACTCCCTCGTCCGGCTCCCAACCCGTCCTCTCACCCTCCCCGTCTGATTTCACTGTTCCCCCCGTCCCTACCCTTGCCGTACCGGCGACCCAGCCGGTGTCCACCAGTCCCGTCGTCCCAGCCATTCCGGCAACCCAGCAGTCCACCGTCCAGTCCCCGTTACCGTCGCCGTCCACGACGGAGTCTGCCATGCCCTCCACCTCTTCCGATGACGACGACAGCCCCGAGTCTTCCTCGGTGGAGACCACTTCTCCATCGCCCATACTTCCATCCCTTCCGCCTCGCATACGTCGTCGTCCGCCCCACCTTAACGATTATGTTCTCAATTCCGCAAAGATTGTCACTACGGCTCCGGTCTCCTCCTGTTCTTCACAATCTGGTACTCGGTTTCCTATTACTAACTTTGTTCATTATTCTATGTTGCATGACAGGTATAGGGGTTTTCTTGGAGCCATTGATGCCACCTCAGTTCCCCGTAATTTTCGTGAAGCTGTTCAGTATGCCTCTTAGCGTGAGGCTATGGCCACTGAGTGTTTGGCTCGGGAGCAGAATCATACTTGGGACGTTGTAGATCTCCCTCCTAATCGCCGGGCTCTTGGTTGTCAGTGGGTATGCACGACCAAATATCATTCTGATGGCACTAAAGAGCGTGATAAAGAAGGTCTTGTTGTTTTGGGCAATCATCAGGAGCTGGGCGTTGACTACACTGATACTTTTGCCCCTGTTGCCAAATTGGCAATTGTTCGTGTTTTGTTGTCTGTTGCAGTGGCTCGTAGTTGGTATGTTGATCAGTTGGATATCAATAATGCTTTCCTTCATGGGGATTTAAGGGAGGAGGTCTATATGAAAATCCCTCCAGGTTATACTCACCTTTTTCCAAGGAAGGTCTGTCGTCTTCGTAAGTCCTTATACGGCCTTCGTCAGTCACCTCGTAATTGTTTCACTAAGCTTCGTGTGGCTCTACGGCAATATGGTTTTCGTCAGGCCCATGCCGATCATAATCTATTTGTTCTCCACCGTGGCCCTGATATGGTGGTTGTCCTTGTTTATGTTGATGATATTTTGGTGGCAGGTAATAACAGGTCCTTATGCACTTCCTTCAAGAAATATTTGGATGATTGCTTTCATCTATAGGATCTTGGTCCGGTGTCTTATTTTCTGGGTATCGAGTGTGCTCGATCTCCTGACGGTATGGTCTTGAATCAACGTAACTATGCTCTTGACATTATTGATGAGGCAAATCTCCTTGGATGCAAGCCCGTGAACACGCCCTTTCCGGTGAATCATAATTTGGCTCGATCCACCAGTGCTGAGATTCGTGATCCTCAGAAATACCGTCGACTTGTGGGCCGTTTGCTGTATCTCACCATTACTTGTCCTCATATTTGTTATGATGTTCATACGTTGTCTCAGTTTATGTAGGCTCCACGTCTTGATCATTGGAATGCTGCTCTGCGTGTTCTCTATTATCTTAAGGGGCACCCTAGTCAGGGTATCTTGTTGCGTAGTGACAGTAATCTTGCCCTTACTGCTTATTCTAATTCTGATTGGGCCAGCTGTCCCCTCACTCGATGTTCTGTCACCGGTTATTTTATTTTGTTGTGTGGTTCTCCGGTCTCATGGCGTACTAAGAACAAAACCGGCCACAGTCTCCAGGTCTTCTGCCGAAGCTGAGTATCGAGCTATGGCTAACGCATGTGCTGAAATTCGATGGTTGCGTGGCCTCTTGGCGGCCTTAGATGTTCCATGTGTAGCAACTCCTCGTTTATATTGTGATAACAAGTCTGCTTTGTTCATTGCCGCGAATCCAGTCTTTCATGAGCGCTCGAAGCATATTGATATTGATTGTCACATTGTCCGCGAATGTCTTCAGCGCAACCATATCGTCACTACTTACGTTCCTACGCGTTTTCAAACGGCAGATATCTTCACAAAGGCTCTCTACGTTCCTACGCATTTTCAAACTTATTGCTTTGATTTAATATTTTAATTTTAATTGTTTGAGTTGACCCATGTAGCGAGTCTCAACCAGTCTACCCCAGTCCCATTCCGGATAGCCCGGGACCTAAATAAACGAAGTATTCCGAGGGTTTCAACTCGAGTGCTCAAACAATATTTTCATTCATTTTTTATTCTTTTATTTTTACCTAGCCATTTATTGCCTTTTTTCTATTTTTTTCTTTTTGCTCAATGGCGTCGGTTATTCTTTTTTAAACTGGTTATGGACGAGATTCGTACGGCCCAAAACGGAGTTTGCTCTTCCAACTCAAGTTTTCTCCATACACAACATCACTTCCTTTTGGGATCTGTTGCTTAAGGGGACAAAGGTGCTATGCCACCCATGCCAACCTAAGATGGTGTTCCAGTATAGATATTATATTCATTTTTTCAGCATCTTGATAATATTTAAATAACCAAAATTTAGAAAAAGAAAAAGATTTTCTTAAATCTAACTTTACTTGAATAAAAGCTTAGGACAAAAAGAGTTAGTTTGAAAACTGCTCCATGTATTTCTAAATAAATTGTGCACATTGAACTTAGCTAATTAAAAGGTATGAAATTAAACAAAGATAAATTCCAAATAGATTTGACTTAAAAGAAATGATTTAAAGTTTTGAGTAGCAAACTCATTTATAAACAAATTTAAACATACTTGTTACAAAATTAATTTCAATTTAATGCAAAAATGCAACACTTAATAGTGCTAAAAGATTAAAAGAAACTATTCTGATTTCTAATTTTTATTGAAATTCTCTTTTTCTTATATTTATTTTCATGTGAAAGATTTTTTGTTTTCTTTAAAAAATTTTAAAAACTTTAACTTTTTTTAACCAAATTGCATCTAAAATGCAAAATTTGACGTGAAACGAATTTTTTTCTACCCAATTTATGCTCCTAATATGTGTATAAAAACATGCAAACAAAAAACTTTTCCTAAAATATGCCTAACTAAATGCAGAAGCGTCCCCCCACACTTAAATCATGCAGTGTACTCAAACTTTTCCTAAAATATGCCTAACTAAATGCATGAAACATGTAGAATCATAAAACAGATGCACGATGATAGGGATGGCATCATAAGTTATGACAATTAAGCAAGCAAAAAGCAAGTTAATGATAAAAAATTAAATGCATAAAAGTAAAAGTTTAAATATCTGGGTTGCCTCATAGAAAGCTGCCATCCTTTAGTGTCTTCGGCTAGACTCCTCATTCTGCTCGGGACAATATGGAGAATCCATATTATACTCTGAATAACATGTGATCACTTAAAACAAACTCAAGAACAAATCTAATAGCTAATCACAAGGTCAAAATTAACAATAAGAAACTAGTTTTAGTGATATTCATAAGTGAATTTTCCAAGCTAACAACTTAAATTCTCAAGAAAGTAATCAAATTTCTTAAAAACTAGAAGTTATGGTGTGGGGTGATTCTTCTCAAAGAACAAACTCTAAAGAGTATTTGAAAAAAAGTTCTGTTTTTGTTGAAAGTTATCAAAACAATTTCTTTTACTGTTTCCTCTTCTTGTTTGGGAGCCATAAAAATTGTTTCTGTTATTTATTTGTTTTTTCTTAATAAGATCTGCTGTTTTTTTTCAAACCATTATGACTAAGTACTCAAAAAGGGTAGAAGACACCTAAGTAGGAATTTTATGTGTATCTCGGAAAACAATGTCCCAGATACACATCATACGTTACATAACACACAGTATGTAGCCAAGGATCAGAGTTTCGAATAGAAGTTCTGAGCACAAACCAAGAGAATTGAGAATCTCTTTTTTTACCTTGAATCCCAATAGTTCATTCTATACTAGATGTAAACGCATTTTTATCTTCCTAATGTGAAGTACAGTGATTGGACTGTCTTTTTCAAAAATTTGAGATGTTTTAATTCCCTTTTTTTGTTCCATAAAGAAAACTTAATTCTAAAACACAGATTCATGGCTTGAGTAAAATGGTAGGATTCCAAGGTTCTTGAGAGCAAATGAAGACTTTGAAAAGTAGCAAACAAAAAAATCAATCTCAAGCTCTAGTAAGCAAATCAATTCCAACTAATAAACCGAAGTTTTTTTTATTATTTTTACTTCACTATCCTACTTGCTTTGTCTAAACTCACAAGTTGATTTCAAAATAGACTTTTCAATAAGGTTTCAGCCTATTAAATTCTTGAGCAGTTTTTTTTTCAAATTTGAAGACCATGGTTTAGTGCTTATCAAGTTAGGGAATGTGATTTTCAACTCTAAGAAAAATGCAGACTCTGTAGCTAGCTTTAACATATAAAATGTGCAAGAGTATGAAAACGTTAAGAGTATGAAAACGTTTATACTTAGCAAAGAGATGTTGAAATGAAAATGATAGCTTCTTCTAGAAAAATAGGGTTGAAAATAGGTCTATCCAGTACCTAGTTTAACCCCTACACTTAAAATCTTATTGGAGAAAAAATTTATAAAAAGAAATAGAAACTTTATTTTCTTATCTTTAGAAAAAAGTAGACCTAATCACAGGTCACAGGAATCACGCTCAATTTTTTTTAGACAGCCAACTCGTTAAATCAATGTGAAATCATTGTCTCAATTAAGCATGACTTGAACAAAAAAGTGGATTAGGCCACATCTCTAGTAAGAACAAGTAATGATGTATTTGGGAATCATCTTAGCACATTGCCTATACTTGTCCCACGGGTACTTAGAAAAACCAATCATTAGGATAACAAGAGTACTAAATTAAAAAATAGGTCTGAAGGGCTCACACGTTTTGTATGTTGTTTTCAAGAGAGAACCCTTCATTACATTGGATCTTATGAACTGAACTTGAACACGTTTTTACACAATCTGTCTAAAGATGAGAATGAGCTAGGAATACTTACCTGGAAAGTAGGACTGCACATTTAGAGATGCAACAGAATTGATCCTTATGCCATAACATTCATAATCCAAACCTGAACTCTGATGTAATGCAACTCTTTTTACAGATCTTGAGACTCCCTAAAAATGTAGCATTGTTTGAAGGGGAACTTGATGACCATCTTCTCGGTAATGTTTCACTGAAATGTATAGCAAATGCAGCAATTTCCCTTCTGTTTTGCTCAAGCCTTTGCTCCTCATATTTTGCTTTTAACCTTGCTTTGTTACTGCATTCTATTTTTTTCAGTGAAGCATGGGCACCTGTGGCAGCTACTTTGGTAGCAACTAAATATATCCAGCCAGAATCATATTCTCATCTCAATGTCTGATTTTCAGCTCCTTGCACCTTTATAGTGGTTCCTTAAACCTGAACTCTGTTGTTTATTCTGCTCTAACAGAAGAGATTCACATGACTGAAGATGCTGCCAACTGAAGATCTGAAAATTGAATTTGATTCTTTTTTCTCTTTTCAATTTGCCTACATTCAATGCCTAAACAAAAAAAATTAAAGCTCTAGGTTAAAGTAGCTACTGTTTGAATAAGTTCGAAAAGAAAATTTAGCTAG